TTTGATGAAAAACTTTGAAGCGAAATGACATTCAGATTTTTTAATATTTAAAAACTGGGGGAAAAGAGACATAACCACCCTTTTTCCCTCCTTACTTTTCCCCTGTTTTTAAATATTCAAAAATCTGTATCTCTCTCATTAACTGCTTTAAAGTTTTTTGTCAAATATACTTTGAGGCTTAGAAAGATTAGTTCAGAGCCAGAGCTTGGCTTTATTAAATAGAAATGCTACTTCCACATCAATAATTATATCTACCCTTGTCATATTTTCTTAAAACATAACATTCGTTTAAATATTTTTGTCTTGCCATATTATTGTATATACATAAAATCAATATTTTCTTATTTATGTGAGTAGCAATTATTTCAGTACAGTACTGTATTTTATTTTGTAGCTCTCTGTTTAGTACCTGAGTATATTTTTTCTTTAAAGTTTAAACTTAGGGGCCAATCACAATTGTAAACATAGTGTATTAAAAGTGTACAGTACTCTTTTTTGCCACCTCAACCCCTTTAAAAAGTGTACATTCATGGAAAATGTTGATTTTGCAATACTGTTCTCTATGGCCTTTTTTTCAATTGGTACATAGATACATAATTAGGTTTAAATATATCCATATTGGCATGTTATTAAATTTAGAAAACCAATTTCAATCAATATTTTAAGCTTTTTTAAATTCCTTTCATTTAATTTTGTATTTAGTACCAGGCCCTTTCCCTCTTAGCATACTGTTTATACATTTGTTGATAATTATGAACGGTCCATACAGTGCAGGGTTATCCACCTTATGTTTTGGAATTTCTTTTTTGAGTCTTTCACGTCTATTAAATTCGTGTAAAGTTAAATCTAATACTGTACTGTAATAGTATATAAAAATATATAAAACTTTTTCTTTCATCTACCCTTATCAATATCGCTTACAGTACCTTGATGTTATTTAATATATTTATAATATTTATAAAGGCCTGCAATTTACTGTAAATACAGCTATTATACAGTATACTGTAAAATTATTTTTATAAATCTTTATATGTTTGCACAATACCACTAGTGCTACATTGTGTGACTTCATAATGCTAGTAAAATTCAATGCAGTTTATTCTTTTAAGATATTGAATCCAGTTTTTTTTTTTCTACTTTTAGATGATGCAATGCAAACATTATTTTAGTTTGGTTGTTTGACCTGTTATATATATGTTTAATATGTCACTAAATAAAGATCTTGAGAATGAATACATTTTGTTGAGATTTCTGTACAGTGGGTTCAAACATTTGCTGCCATGAACTACCAAAACACATTTGTACATTACAATCATCTTGTAGGCCTATGATTTTTTATTTTTACACTTTTTTTTTTGATTCGTGAAAACAGTTTTTTAGTGATCGAATGATTTAAAAAAAGTTATATCAGCGTTATTTTCTAGAGAAGTCCTGTGAATTTCTATGAAAATTAATTTTATCAGCGTTATTTTCTATAGAAATGCTGTTTTTTTTTCTTATAGAAAATATAATATATCAGCATTATTTCTATAGAAATTCTGTACATTTCTATAGAGAATAATACAGTTTTCCATAGAAAATATATTATATCTGCAATAATTTCTATAGAAATACTGTTAATTTCCATAGAGATTTATATAGTTTTCTATAGAAAAAAATATATCTGCAATAATTTCTATAGAAATGCTGTTCTTTTCTATAGAAGTATTGTGAATTTCTATAGAAAATAATAGTTTTCTATAGAAAAGAAATTATAACAGCGTTACTTTTTATAGAAATGCTGTTCTTTTCTATAGAAGTATTGTGAATTTCTATAGAAAATAATAGTTTTCTAAAGAAAAGAAATTATAACAGCGTTACTTTCTATAGATTTGCTGTTATTTTCCATAGAGATTTACATAGTTTTCTATAGAAAAAATTATATATTTGCAATAATTTCTATAGAAATGCTGTTCATTTCTATAGAAGTATTGTCAATTTCTATAGAAAATAATATTTTTCTATAGAAAAGAAATTATAACAGAGTTACTCTCTATAGAAACACTTGTTATTTTCTATAGAAATGCTGTTAATTTCTATAGATTCTTATAGAGAATTAAGCCACTTTCCTTTAGAAATTGTATAGAAATCCTTTAGAAATTTTATAGAAATCCTTTAGAAATTGTATAGAAATTCTTTAGAGATTGTATAGAATATTTTTATATATTTTCTATAGAATTTGTTTGAAATATTCTATAGAACTTATATAAAATTTTCTATAGATACTCTATAGAATACTATATAGAAAATCTATAGAATTTTCTTTATAGAATTCTATAGAAAATTTTTGTATGGGCAATTCCTGTAACAATAAGATTATTATTGATATACTGTAGGCCTAGAAGCTAGGCTACACAACAA